CTACAGCTCCCAATTGCCCCCAGCCAGTGTGGCTAATGTAGAGGAATGCTGGGAGTTTGGATAGATTTTCTGGTTGTTTGGGATAGATTTTCTGGTTGTTTTTATTTTTATAGTATGTATGTTAGAAAATGCATAGGGATTCTGTAATAAGTAATGTGGATTTAGCTACACGTATTTGCTTACGTCTAGTTCAGGCAGAGTTCACTTTTAGAACATCTAGGGCTCTTTACAAGGAACATTTTTGAAGAAAAAGAAGCAAAATTGGTGTCCTTAACCTCAGAAAAGTGTATCCATTTTATTTACCTATTTCCCCCAACCCCACACTAGACAGGGCTACCCCTTAAAGTTGATAGACTTCAGCGTTGAGTTCAGGCAATAGAAAATGCGCAGCAGTCCTAATAACTACTGGGCAATTCATGCAAATAGATGTCACAATAACCAAAAGTTCCTTTGTGCAGGCTGGCCCTGTAATAACAGAAATCTTGTCACTTTTATGAATCAGTTTAGAAGGCTTAATGCATTAAATCAGAGTAGTAAAAATAGCTGCCACTTACTTTTAATTGCTCCCTGTGTGTACCAACCTGGGTGAAGGTCTCCACAAACACATCTCATTTGACATGCATACATTTTGCTCATGGGAAATTGAGGTTCAAGGTGATAGCAATTCCAATCCTGTTAATCAAATGTTAATTAGTCCTCCTGCCACCTTCTTGTTGTTGACTTTCTGAAAATTGAGACAACTTTGCCCTTCTTATCCCATAGAAGCAGATGAAAAAAAGATCCATCTCCTTTCATCACATTACATGACACAACATTAAAATAGGGTCATAAATTATTCCTGAATAATTTTGCAATGAACATGAGAATGCTTCATTTGCTGTTTTTTTTCCTTTAAAGCCACTAGATGGCATACATTATGTACAAGAGATCCAAGGCCGGGTGTAGTAGCACTAAAATAATAGTTGATACCTTCTTGTGTGACCAGGCAGTGGTGTTTTTGTCTTTTTTATGAGTTAGGGTTACATGGGGTATTAACTGGGGAGGCTGGTGTTTGAATTTATTTTCTGAAAAGGAAACTTTTCAGGAGGGTGGGCTTGAGGTTTTCAATGTACGTTTTTTTTTTAAAAAATGATACACTTATTTTAGTCCATGGAAATAAAGACACATAAAAATGTGTTGGTTTGCCACTGGATTTTGGCAATACACTCTTAGAATGGTGGAGTTCAATTCTTCAATTCCCATAATAGTTGAGCCAAATACCAGGTATGCATTGAAAAGGTTAGTGAAAGAACTGGCACCATATCATGTACACAGCCTGCTTTTGAACTCCAAGTGGGTCTGACAAAAGGTTATATTGTAAACAATTCTTTGAGGGTACATAATGCCAACAAATAACAAGGCTGTAAGGGGAGAGGGATAAAAGTAGCATCCAAATACATAGGAGTATCAGGGGTGTCTAAGTGGTCAAAATATCAAGATGGCAACATTGTGGCCTATTAAAGTGGGCAAAGCTTCAACCATAGCATTATGACTGCCATCTTGATTTTTTTTTTTATCATATCCTGAAGGCAGGTCTAGGAAAACTCACTGCCATAGGCTCACTACCATTGGCTCACCCTGTTCGCCTCATCTGGACCACCTCAATTCAGGGCAACTTGTTGTGGGATAATTTCTTTTATTAGTTACATATATAATGTAATGGGAGACTGCTGGAAGCAAGTGGAACCTCCTCTTCCTCCTTCTCTTCCTCCGCAGCTCAGACTAGAAAAAAAAATCAGGGAGGACAAAGGGGGAAGGGGAAGACGAATTTTTCCCTGACCAGAAAAAAAATCACATGGGAGAAAGTCACACACATTTTCATATACAGGAATTTCTGCCACAGAATTCAATGGGTATTGGCTGGGAGGGATAAGCTGGATCTAGGAGGGAGAGAGGATGGAGAAGGAGCTTCCATTTACCTTTGGCATTCTCCTGCAATGATTTGTCCTGCAATGAGTTGCCCTGGGTGAGCCGGCCATGGTGACCCAACGGCAGTGACCTGGCAGTTGCAACGCAGCTGCAGCGAGTTGTCCCATTCTGCCTGCACACAGCCTTGGGATAATTGTACACTGATTTTCCATCGTCTTGTTTTAAAAGAGATAAGATTTGGTGGGTTAGTATGAAAAACAATGTACTGTATGTGAGCTAAACAAACAACAAAGCACTCTTCACCTCCATGAATGAACACTCACAACGTCCTGTAGTTTTGAATCCAGTATAGTTGCCATTTTCAGTTTACCGATTCCACTATCTGCTGTTATTGTAAGTTTTAAATTCCAGTTTCTATAAACCCCAGATAGCAGCTGCTCCAAGTCTGAGCAACAAGATAAGTCATGTTAATAAGCCATATGTGACAAAAGGTAAGATGGCAACTTGTGGGCATAATATTTATTTATTTATTTTATTTATTTATTTGGTCTGTCAACTGCTTACAAGATAATAAGTATAAGTAAAAACATAGTTATGAATACATGGATACATATAAGAAAAATAAAAAAAATAAAAGAAACAATAGGACAGGGACGGTAGGCACGTTGGTGAGCTTATGCATGCCCACTACAGACCTCTTAGGAAAGGGGGGAGGTCAATAGTAGACAGTCTAAGGTTAAAGGGTTTGGGATTTGGGGAAGAAACCACAGAGTCAGGTAGAGTATTCCAGACATTGACCACTTTGTTGCTGAAGTCATATTTCCTGAAATCAAGTTTGGTGTGATTAACCTTGAGTTTGTATCTATTGTTTGCTTTTGTATTGTTATGGTTGAAGCTGAAGTATTCATTTGCAGGTAGGACATTGCAATGTATGATTTTATATATTATACTTAGATCGGACCGAAGTCGGCATAGTTCTAGGTTTTCTAGGTCTAGAATTTCAAGTCTGGTGGCATAAGGTATTCTGCAACGAATAGAGGAGTGGAGAACTCTTCTTGTGAAATATTTCTGGACTTTTTCAACTGAGTTAATATCAGATACATAATGTGGGTTCCAGACTGATGAGCTGTATTCAAGTATTGGTCTAGCAAATGTTTTGTATGCTCTAGTTAGTAGTGTAATATTACCAGAGAAAAAGCTACTTAAGAACAACTCTTAATGCCTTTTTGGCTGTGTAGTTACCGTGGGCTCTAGCACTTAGATCATTAGAGATGAGTACTCCAAGATCCTTGACAGAGTTTGGATCAACAAGGTCTTGACTATTCAGCCTGTATTTTATTTTCTGATTTTTTTTTTTGCCAATATGTAAGACAGAGCATTTGTTTGTTGAGATTTGAAGTTGCCATTTGTTTGACCATTCTGATACATAGTCGAAGTCTTTTTGAAGGGTAGTAGTATTGTCTGTGGTGTTGAATAGCTTTACATCATCAGCGAAGAGAATGCAGTTGCTCTTAATATGATCACAGATGTAGAGTATGAAGAGAGTTGGTCCTAGAACACAGCCTTGGGGGACACCATTGTTGACAGGTACAGAATTTGATAGAATGTTCCCAATTTTGACAATTTGTTGTCTTTTTGACAGGAATGCTTCTATCCAGTTATGCAGGTGTCCAGAGATACCATAAGATTTTAGTTTTAGGAGTAGTTTGTCATGTACCACTGGATCAAAGGCTTTAAAAAAGTCTATGTAGATTGCGTCTATTGCTTTGCCCTGATCCAGTTGTGTAGTCCATATGTTTTTGCAGTGTAAGAATTGCAGATTACAGGATAGTTTTTTTTTTCCTGAAACCAAATTGTTTATTAGAGAGTAAGTTGTTTGCTTCTAAGTGGAGGATGATGGATTGGTTAATAATTGATTCCATGACTTTACAGGTGATGCAGCATAAAGAGATTGGTCTGTAATTTTCAACTAGGCTGGGGTCTCCCTTTTTGAAGAAGGGCATGACCGTGGCTTGTGACCATAGTTTTGGCAAGGAGCTGGTCCTGAAAGATTTTTCAAAGATTATGCTTAGAGGTTCGGCTATGGCAGTGGATAGCTTTTTTAAGAAGTAGGCACATATTCTGTCCGGTCCAATAAATAGAGATGGTTTTAGATTGCATAGTGCTTTTTCAACATTGTCTTCTGTAAAATTGATATGTATTAAAACATTGTAGTTGTCTGTGGTTTGACTAGGAAATACTGGGCATGATCCACTGCTGTTTACAAATACTGAGCCAAAGAATGTGTTAAAGAGGTTGGCTTTAATCGTGTCGTCGTTGCATATGTCTTCTAAACTCTGGGGCATTGGCTGAAAGTGAATAAGGTCAGACATAACTGAGCATAAAACAGAATTGGAGTCTGTTGATTAACATGAGATGGGACCCCTTGATTCTGGGACCCTGAAGGTTCGATTGCACATCTCCTGGAGGTCCAAGACTAATGTGATTTTTAATTTTAATTAAGGGAACTTGGAGAAAGCGTCTGAACATTTTATCAGCCCTGTGAGATGGGAGTATCTAATTACATTCCCTCACTAGTCACCTCCCTTCCTTCTGAAGGAACTATTTTCAGCTACTCTTAATGTTTTAAAAAGTTATCTGTATTTTCCTCCCCCTTGTCCACCGTGGTCTACTTATGATATAGGTCAGGCTCAGAAAATGGTGGTGCTGAGCGTTGTGGAGGGGTTCAGTTTCTTATGTGTTCCATGGTGCTATTGATCACTGATCTCCCTTGCCATGTGTGTTTTTAGCTGTCAAAGATAAAATGAAAAATTGGAACATCTTTTCTGTTCTTGGATTGGGTGTTGAATACCAAATTCCTGGCATTGATGCTTGGCAGTGTCCTTTTTGTGGGACTTAAAACCTTAAGTGCCAGTCTGATACCAGAGTCAGCAATTATTTCATCGAGGTCTGCCACAATAGCACCCGATTCAAAGTAGCTTTCCACTAAGAGTTTGACCAGAGTGACCTAGAGCGGAGTTGTCAAGTGATAGGTGTCAATCTATAGTCAGCTTATTAAACCAACAGATCTCTCTGTTCAACCCTCACTCGTGGAAGAACACCCGGACGGTCTGTATCTCTTTAGCTAAAGGCTTTTCATTGTCATAATATTATGGGGCTCACCGAGCAGGAATGGCAGAAGGTCATGGACATCTGGGACAAAGTGGAACCGGATCTCTCTTTGCATGGTCAGGAAGTCATCATCAGGTAAGCAGAAAGTAGGAGTGGAAATCTGAGCAGCAACAATCCCAACAAGCTGGCATGGTGGTGATTTAAGAATCTGCTTGGCATGTGGTTTGAAACTAAACATTACAGAAGCAGAGAAAAAGAGATGCAAACTTGCTGATAAGCTGGATATTATTTTAATTTTGTTGTCCTCAATTTGTACTGACTTCTTTATTAGATAAGCCCTTGGGGGGTGGGGGCGCAAAGGCTTCCAAAGGAGTTTAATCTGTGTTTGAGTGAATGATTAATAATAACAGTGCCTTTTCTCCTTGCTGTTTTAAAGTGCTCTCCATCCATTCTTGAGTGGGCACAGAACTGTGCTAACATAAAACTTGTACCTCTAGACTAGAGCCACATCTTAGACTGCCTTTTCTTTTGAGTTCCTACCAAATGGATCTTGGCTGATTTGTGCATCATTCATTATGGACAAGGTGGGAAAACTAACAAATAAGTAACAAATGCCCAATTAACATTATTATTCTCTAGACAATGCAGTGAAACAAAAATCAGGGTACCCCATCTAAAGGGAAATATAAATTTCAAAATGCCATCAGCATAAATTAACAAGTGTTAACAATGTTAGGATTATGCTGACAAACATTCCATCTCTTTTTCCCCAAATAAAACAGTACGGCTCTGTTCCATCTGTTGGGATAAATGTTGGGATCAAAAATAAGGAAGCTAGTAAATGATGGGGATGAAAAGAACCTAGGAAACATACAAAATGCCAACAGTGAAGGGAAGACTTGGAAAATAAAGGGTTGTGTTTTGAAACTGGCTTGTGATCAGTTTGGAGTGTGCATGGCCATGATTTTCAATATTTGCAAAGCACACCTTTGCTCAGCTGGCTGCACTGTCAGATTCATGAGTGGGTTCATGAAAGAAGATTCATCTTCACATACCATCTTCTGTATAATTTGGAACAGTAGGAGCAGCACAGATAGGCAATATTTGGGCAATGGCAATGACAGTTGGAGGAAATTGGTAGCAGTGGGGAATAGTACAAAAAAAAGGTCACTGAAGATAATACCAGTCCTGTGTGTTTTCTACCCTCTGGCTTAAGTAGCAGAAGACAGGGAGATGAGATACAAAATAGAATAGGATATAGAATATGCTTGTATTTTCCATTGATGGATGTATCCCAAATCATCACACTTATTTGATCTTTCACCAGCTCTAAATTTGGCCATGTCATTGTACATAGTTGACCCCTATCAACATTCCATTACACTATCAACTTGCTTAGCTGCTTTCCTTTTGTTGGTTTCTGTCTGTTTCCTGAACTTTGGTCACCCATTGAGCCGTAGGAAATTAATATCTGAAATTTAGATATTTAGATATTATTTATAAGACAGCTTAGTTATAAGTGATAAGTGTTCTGCCAGTGAAAACTGGCTCCTGAGCTTCATTTCCAACTGCGATTGCCTCCTGCAACCCTCTGCCAGGGAAAATAAAGCTTGGGAGGGCCATGTGTGGCCCTCTCAAGCTCCATTTTCACTGGCAGAGGCACTGCAGGACAGTTTCCAGGGTGGCCCAATGGACCAGAGTTAAGTACCCTGGATCGGGTCTGCAGGCCTTGAATTTGACACCCCTGCCCTAAACAATAACCTAGATAATAACTAGAACATATTTTCCAAGTGGCAATAATCCTGCTTATGGTGCTGGTTCTGTTAATATAATTGCATTATAATAATAACATATAATTAGAATTGGAAGGGACTTTGTAGGTCATCTAGTCAAATCCCCTGCCCAAGCAGGAGACCCTATACCATTTCTGACCGATGGCAGTCAAATCTCTTGTTGAAAGTCTCAGGTGATGGTGCTCCCACAACTTCCGAGGGCAAGCTGTTCCATTGGTTGATTGTTCTCACTGTCAGAAAGTTTCTCCTTATTTCCAGGTTAAATCTCTCCTTGTTCAGTTTCCATCCATTATAAGGAATAATCTGACCTTCAGGTGCTTTAGAAAATAGATTGACCCCTTCCTCTCTGTGGCAGCCCCTCAAATATTGGAAGACTGCTATCATGTCTCCCCTGGTCCTTCTCTTCACTAGACTAGCCAAGCCCAGTTCCTGTAACCATTCTTCACTTTTGTTTCCAGTCCCTAATCATCCTGGTTACTGTTCTCTGTACTTTTTCTAGAGTCTCAAAATCTTTTTTATAATGTGGTGACCAAAACTGGATGTAGTACTCTAGATGTGGTCTTACTAAGGCTTTATAAAGTGGTATTAGTACCTCACTTGATTGAGTGTATCCCTCTGTTCATGCAACTTAGAATTGCATTAGCTTTTTTGGCTGCTGCTGCACACTGTTGGCTCATATTTAGCTGGTTATCCACTAAGACTCCAAGATCCCTCTCACAGTTACTGCTATTAAGCCTGCTTTCACCTAGTTTATATATGTACTTTTGGTTTTTCTTGCCTAAGTGTAGGACTTTACCTTTGTTTACATTGAATTTCATTTTGTTAAATGATATTTAACAAAGAGATTGTTATGAATACACATCTATGTAATTTAACATATTTAAGCATGATCACCACTATTGATTTTAATAGTCTCAGGCATGCCTAAAATTATAGCTACATAATTTAATCAAAATTATGTGCAGGGTTTCCTTTATACTGTGATCCATAATCCTACTGAAATTGTCTTTTGAATCTATGCAGCTGCTCTTTTTTTTTAATGTTTGTTGAAGTCTGAAATGAAAGGTGAACATTTCTTTTTTTAATACTCAAGGGATGAGATAAGCTGGAGGAGAGTCACGCAACTATGAATGAGTTCTAAAAATGGAACTATGAATGAGTTCTAAAAATGGAAATCCCACTCTCCAAGGATCCAGTGAAAGGGCAACTCTCATAATTCATCAACTTACTATACCACCTGAGTAACTTATGTAAACAGGGTCTAATATACTGTAGGTATCTAAAATGTGTCTGTATGCTTAACTGATATAGGTGGTTAAAGACTCAGCATCATTGACTTGGTTCTTCCTGAGTTTCTCTATTTAATTCATAGGATGTTCCAGAACCACCCTGAGACTCAAGAGCGTTTTGTCAAATTCAAAAATTTCAAGACTCTGGAGGAGATGAAGAACTCAGAAGAACTCAAGAAACATGGAACCACTGTCCTCAGTGCTTTGGGTAAAATCCTGAAACAGAAAGGGTCCCATGAAGCTGAACTGGCACCACTGGCACAGACTCATGCCAACAAGCATAAGATTCCAGTCAAATATTTAGAAGTAAGTATGATGGTGCCCAGTCATGTATACCAAAAGAGCTCATTATTAAGCAGAAAAGCAAAGGTTTGTATTCTGAGCATGGGTAGGCCTGCTTACTAAACTTTAGAACGGATATAGGAAGTTTAAAAGGGCAATTTAGAAGTATAATGTTGACAAAAATCATCTTTCAAGGGAAAGCTTATTTATTTGTCATCAGATGATGACATTACAGGGCTGACAGCATCTTTTTGACCTTGGTTGATCTTCTCAAACAAAACATTTAGTAGTTAAAATTAAACTTTTTGACCACTGGTGCTAGCCCAGCTAGAGCAGCGGGTTGGACTAGAAAACCTCCAAGGTCCCTTATTCTACATTCTAGATAGAAAGAGAAGTAAATATATCAAGCCAGCTGCCAAACCATCTAACTTAGTAGTGGCTGCCCATACAGTGAAGTCTTGCCCTAGGAAGATAAAATTAATATTGAATTTACCAAAATTTGTTCAGAAATCATCAGATGATCACCCCTGCCAGTAGATATTTCCAAATAAATGCTAACTATGGATTATCCAAGTAGAAGCTGGACAATGCAGTCCCTAAAGGAGAATATTTGCAGCTCACGATTGAAACGAGGAGTTCTTGGTGCTCTTTGTGCTTGTTTGTTTTCTTGCAGATGTTTCATTAACCAAACTAAGTAATATTATCAATGCTAATGACTACACTGATAATGTTACTTAGTAGGGGTAATGAAACATCTGCAAGAAAACAACCATGTCAAGAAAGCACCAAGGATCCCTCAGTGCTGCCCCTCTTATTTGATTGAATTTGCTGCCCTTCAATTAATAAAAGCAAAAATGAAAAAAGAGAAAGGAAAGAACAAACAGCTTTAATTTCTAGTAGTGGAATAGCAGACTAATGTCCATTCTGGTTTAATAATAGTTCTAATTTGTTGCACGGGGAAGCAGACCCCATTTGAATAAACCGGTTCAATGTACATTATTGAGGATTCAGTTAACATGGCATAGTGATTAAGTATTGCATTATAATCAAGGGGACCTGGGTTCAAGGCCATTATAAACCATAGAAGCTCAATTTTGGAGGGAGACATAGATTGCCTTTTGCTAGTAGAAAAAGAAATCAGATTTAAATCTAACAAACAAATAAGTATGCAATGACACTACTTGAAAGATGCAGTTCAATAGTGAATATATAAAATAGTTTATCCATGGTCAAAAAGTCCAACTTTATATTTCCCCTTTTTGCTCTGCACAATCTTGACCTTTAAATCATCTCACGGACTTTGATCTTTTGTTACTCTTTGGCATTTAGAAGACGTCTTCAAAGGTTTCACCAGCTTACTTTGCAAGCCCCATAAAGAAACATTGTCTGGGATTTCTTGTTGTTGAAGATGTTCCATGTCCTTGATTAGTCTATTGTATTTTGGTAATCTCAATTTTGTTTTCTTCCATGTCTTTAGGTCAGGTAAAAGGGTTTTTAAAAAAAGTTTTTATTGTTATCTTCTAAAAGTTTATCCCTTGAAATCTGTATCCTTTTGGAGACACTAGTTACAGGTAGCACTTGACATACGACCACAATTGAGCCTGGAATTTATGTTGCTAATGAAAAATTTGTTAAGTGAGTTTTGTTCCATTTCACGAGTTTGAAGGGTCACTAAACAAATGGTTGTAAATCAAGAACTACCTGTACTATTATTTCAATCAATGTTTGAAATTCTTTAAGATGGTATTATAGCCAATCTAGCCATTTTAACTCTTTTCTGTTTGATCATTTAGTTCCCCTTGGTGTCCATTTGCAAATTTCATTAAACCTCAGTTCCTATTATGGAGTTAGTTCTATTTCAGTTGTTTCTAATGAGTATATTATTCAATTGTATACTGTTTTTTCTTCTTCAAATCATAGAGTAAAAATAATCAAATCTCTCTGGTCTCCAAATCCATTTAAAACTTTCTTAAATTAATAACTTTTTTTTTGCTTTTTGCTATATTATTTATATATTCTTTTAAAGTCTTAAGTGACGAAAGTGTCCAAAAAGTGCTTTTTTCAAAAGGCAACTGGACTTTCTGGTTTTTCTTTGAAGACTGGTTTAGCTTCTTATCCAAGAAGCTTCTTCTTTCCAGAATGTCCTCTTGAAAAAAAATCACCTTTGGGAGAACCATGACCTGGATGACTGAGAATCTCCCAAGACATTTTAAGTTTCTGCTTAAAATTTCTTAAAATCCACAGAAGGTAAAACATACCAAGTACCAAATTTTCCATTTTGAACTCTGCAATACCTATAAAATGGCTAAACTGACATGTCTGAATGTGATTAGAAAGGGAGTTTGGTTGACTTAGCCTTCTTATGAAAGGCTTTTCTCGTTGCTGAGAGCAAAGATGTCATCTCTTTTGCCTCCCGGTGCTCAAACCTGTGGGAGACTGCTGATACAGAGCACTCTTGAGCTATCTCCTGATCTCTTGCTCTCTGGAGAGATTTAAAGAACCGGTCTACTTGCCAGTCTTTCATTCTTCACAGTGGTTGTCTCTGCTTATTCGCAGAAAGAAATGTGAGATAACTCACACTGGAAGCCCAGCTTCTTGTCTCTTTTGAATAAAATATTAAAATATTAATATATGTGTAAACATAAAACACACATTTAAAATCACCATAACACCGCTAAAATGTAATGAACACTTACTCCTACATTTCTTTCCCATACTCGGCTGTGTAAAACCCAATAGGAAGGTTTGCAATCTTTTGGAAACTTGTTCCAAAAGATAATGAAATATTGAAAACCTTTCTTTTTCTTTTTCCTGGACAAGGTTCAGTGTGCACTTCTTAGCTACCAGATTAGAAAGAAAGAACAGAGAGAGGAGGAATGCATGGCTCAGACCGATGATCTATTTTACAAAGCTCACTTAACTTCAGGAATGAGATAAATCACATTTCTAGTTAAGGAGGAAAATGTTAAAGAAGTGTGAGTACTATTTCCTATACTGTTTCCACAACAGAGAAAGTAAGAGGATATATATATATCTATTATTCTGCTTGAAAAACATTTTTAAAGTGTTTCTTCAAGTAGCTGGTACAAATTTCTTCTAGCTTTGCAAATTTTCAAATACCCAAGAAGTAACAAAGGAGCAGGTATAAAGCAGAATGATTCATGAATGCCAGAGGTTTTTGCCTGGACTGCTTTAAAATAAAATTACAGCTTATTTTCAACCAAAGGGTTTGAATAAAGAAATGTTTTAATTAGGGGTGGCATGATAGCAGTGTTCCAGTATTTGAGAGATTGCCACAAAGAGGAAGGGGCTTTATTTTCCAAAGCACCCAAGGGCAGGACAAGAAACAATGGGTGGAAACTAACCAAGGAGAGAAGCAATCTGGAATTAAGGAGAAAATTCCGAATAGTGAGGACAATTAACCAGTGGAACAGTTTGCTATCACTCTGTGGAGGTTTTTAAAAAAAGAGACTGGAAAGTCACGTGTCTAGAATAGAATAGGGTCTCCTGCTTGAGCAGACAGTTGGAGTATAAGACCTCCAAGGTCCCTTCCAACTCTATTTTGACTGAATTGTTTCAAGCTTCAGTTTACATCAGTGTTTTTCAATCTTAGCAACTTGAAAATGTGTGGATTTCAACTTCCAGAATTCCCCAGCCAGCCATGATAGTAATGCAAGATACTATATGCTACTTTAAATAAGATTTATGCCACAGCTTTTCAACTCAGGAGTAATAGTATTATTAGTGTATGTATCCCGCTTCTTTAATTCAGTTACATAAGAACAACTAACAGGGTACCTTAATTGTCCCGAGGAAAGGATATTCTGTTCTTGGCAACCAAGAAGAGGCTGTGAATCTGCAATAACATCAGTCTTGATCACAGGGTATGCAGTAGAAAGAAATGCATATTTCTTAATTCTTTCTTACAAGGAAGAAATAACGCTTCCCTTTACTAGTGGCCCTGGACAAGCAGTAACATATAGATCAGTGAAGTAAAGCCTTCTAATGTACTGAACCTCCTTAGAGATCATTTCATTCAACCACAAAGAATGCATGAAGTTTCAATATGCATCTCTTCAGTTGTCAATTGACTACAAATCGCAGCATCTTTCATATCTGTTGGGAATTTAGAACATCCTTCATTCTGATAGCCAAGAGTAAAAAAGCTGTAATGCTGCAATATCTAGAGAACCTTATACTCTGTCCCACCAGAAATGAATGAAAAATGGATGAGCAAACCTTTGACTAAGGTCTGAGACATTTACATGTTAAGAGAAAAATGTTAAATATATATTGTTTTTTATTTTCTTCTTTCTTGCTCTGACCAAAGTTAATGTAAAGCTATCATGTTTGCTGCTTTGATGTTTGACATTTACTTGCCATTTTAAGAACGCTCTCACTTTCTGTCTCTTCCCCCACATCCTTTTTCTTATCCCTTATTTCTCTATGCCACCACTGATATTCTTATATAGTTCATTTCTGAAGTCATCATTGGTGTCATTGCTGAAAAACATTCTGCAGATTTTGGGGCTGATTGTCAAGAGGCAATGAGAAAAGCCTTGGAGCTGTTCCGGAATGATATGGCCAGCAAATATAAGGAACTTGGGTTCCAGGGCTAGTAAGGAAAGAAGATGTCTCCACTGAGAAGACTTAGTGTGCCTAGGTGTGTTTAGGAGAATATTTTCATGTCATCACAAGAAAATAGCTTGAATAAATAGAATTTTGTTAATGCTACACTTGAAGATGGCAAGGTATATTGTTCAAAATCTCTAATGTCTACTAAGGCCATTTTGGCTGAGACTTAAAGGAATAAAACCAATACATTTGTAGGATATCTAATGAGGTCAAGAAGGAAGTTTAAAGGCTTTAAAGGGCTAGAAAGGTGTGGGTGATAGGACTGGATATGTAATCATTACACCACTTTTTAGTTCAGTGGGATGTTCCACAAAATCACTACCTATAGCCAGACAAATAGGGAAGGAGAATTGGGGAGCGGATACCATTCTGTGTTCCTGAGATCGTAAATGAGATCTCCCTTGGTGTTCTATATGTAATTAATGGGATTAAAATTGCATTAAATTTAGAGTTGCCCATTTTTGTATAGGTATGATTCTGATACTACTCAACGGTGAAGCACATCCCTTTGCCTAAAACAATTCTATGCTACTGCTGCAACTTTAAGTGTGATGGAAAACTTGCCAACTCCATGTGTGGCTTGGGTTATCAACTGAGATTCCTTTTGATCTTCCGCACTTAATAAAATATTAATTATGTATAATAAAAACAGTTGCATGTACTCTTTACATATTGTCTAGTTCACAACTGGCTCTATGATGATATATTAGTATTCAGAAACAGGAAAAGTGAAAATGTTATTCAGGAAAGTGAATGAAGATAAGTTCCTGACTGGGATAAACAATAGTATAACTTGCTATTTAAATTGACTTGAATGGAAAGTCCTACCTGATTATTGCTCTGTATATTGTACAAGATTTTCCTTTCACCTGTACAAGCAAAGTGTGGGGGGAGGCATATCAGTATTTCTACTGGCTAGGGTCAAAGTAAAACTACAAGTAATTTTGTAAAATCAAAAGCTAGGAAATCCATAAATCAATGACTTTCAAATTGTGGTTTATGGAGTCTATGGAGGTGACCATCTCAACCTTCCCATGTTCATGGATCCAATCCAATTAATTGCTTCAGCTTGTTTTCTTTAAACCCCAAGAGATAATAGGTGGGAATCCATTTTCTTCCTTGGCCCTAACTTTGTGAGCTAAGAGTTAAATGGTTTATAAGAATGGATTATTACTGAAAAGTAGCTCATTCAACCATACAAGTATCCAAAAGTATGAGGCTAAAGTTTTGGACTAGGAGTAGGATGGTCTAGTCCTTCATGAGCTGTAGAAACTCTCACAAGGTTGCTGTTGTGAGGGCAAATAGGAGGAGGGAGCAGTATGAATACCACTTTGAACACCTGTAGAAAAATGTGTGTACGTGTGCTGGGGGGGTATAAATCTAACAAATTTAAGCTCAAAAATTCAGAAACTGACAAGAATGAAGAGATCCCAACTATTTCTACTGACTATTGACAAGCAACTTCTGTTTCAAAAATGCAAACAAGAAATAATATGATGAATGTCTAAAAATGGAGATTACATTGAACTGAATCTCTCCTTATTCCTAATTTATTTTTATGCTATGTTCTATGTTAAAATTAAGAAAATGTCTAGTGATGCTTCTGGGAGAAAGAAGTCAGTAAGTACAAGTGGTATGTTCTACTCTGATCCATGCTTGGATTAGTATGTCATGAGAAGACACTAGAAACCAGAGGAAGATAATTTTGTCTATATTGAAATCTCTTACAAACTATTCTTCTTTTTGTTATGTGAAAGACTAGCTTCCTGCATCATGGTCAGAAATGTGAAAACTCAGCAAATTAATAAAAAAAACCAGTCCACAATAATGAAGGTTTGTTTGTTTGCTTGTTTGTATTTTAAAAAAGGGATTGTTGATGTCAACTTCAAAAAAATGGTTTTCTTCTTCAAAATTCTCTCAAACCTCTAAAAATGCAATTTTTAATGGAAAATCTATGTTTATTAATTAATTATCAGTAGTCTTATGGCTGTATTAAAAAATAAAAGTAAAATAGAGAATCTAGTTCCAGGGTAAAAGAGATATAATACCACAATAATAATTAATATGTGATAAATACAAAGATTTGACATCAGATAAATACATCACTTTACAGGATACTCTGATCTGTTTAATATAACAGGTTCTTAGCTAAGCTGTCTGCCTTAATTGGAAACTTAACTCTGTTCATAATGAATACATTAGAGCTCAGGAGGAAATAGGACAATCATGACTCAGACCCTAGCGGGCTCTTCTTTCAAGTAGGGATGTTAAATATCAAGTCAGGGGTGTCCAACATTGGCAACTTAAAAACCTTTGGACTTCAACTGCCAGAATTCCCCAACCAGCATGGGTAACAGAATGGCTGGCTGGGGAATTTTGGGAGCTGAAGTCCACAGGTCTTAAAGTTGCCACCCCGATCTAAACCTAAGAGGGGCATATAATTGTCAGTCAACCAAACATAAGCAATATTTCTGATACTGAGGTACCACTTATACATGTCTTCTCATGATATCGCAGGTAATGGAAGCACCCATGTTTAGCCATGTAATCCAACAACTCAAATCTTGCTCTAGAATGAATATCAATGTAATGAACATTGTTGTAAACACTTTGATGATTATTTCCTAAAACTATTTACCCAGACAATACACTGTTGAACTAAAAATGGAATTTTGTATAGTATAAAGTAAAAAATGTTATGAAAAAAAAAGAATTGTGTCAAACACATTGACAGGCATTTTTCAAATGAAAAAATAGTTTTCTTCTTAGCAATCAATTTAAAGATCTACTTTTTTTGCCAAAAATTCCATGTCAGTTTGGGCATTGATATCAAAGAGTCTTTGTTAAAAAAAATTCCTTGTGTAGGGGATAGTTGAAATTGTACTGGGCAGAAAATCCATGCTGTGAAATAACTTTGGTAAGTCAGCTTATCCAGGAATTGGACTGAACCATACTTATCTGCTAAACATATTTTGAGTACCCTATCTGGGTCCATTGAATGGATCATCTGAGAGTATGTGACAAATTTAAGTATTGATTGGCTATGTATGGAATGGATACCTGTTTCTGTTCTAACAGTTCTAGTACAGTTCCTAGTACAGGTCTCAAAAATGTGGACTTGTTCAAGTCAGATAGCTTTTCTAAGGCCCCACAATTCCATATCATAAATCAACATTGTGACTATTTTCCCCTGAATATGTTCAATACAAGGGTCAAGGTATTTGGGTAATTATAATTAGTTCATTTAATCTTTAAGTATTTACCTTGGCCCTTACCAAGCTTTAAAAAAAAGATTGACACATGACCCTGTGTTGGTAAAAACCACTTCTAAATCAGTACAAGAATTCAATTGTTCAATAGGCTCCCTATTTATACGTCAATTATATTTCATGCCCTTTTTGCTACATATCATCATTTTAGAGTTTATTTTATCAATGTTTTAAGATGTAAGAACCTAGTAGGTATTTAGCATTTGCAATAGTTTTCTCAGGCCTATTTCAGAATGAGCCATTAGAATCATATCATCAGCAAAGAAAAGGATATTAATACATTTATCCTGAATCTTTGGAATATGACTATCTGACATAGAAGTTAGAACTTAGAATAACTTTATTGTCATTTTGAATGTACACTAATTGGCATATATTAAAATGAAATTTCATTGCATACAGCTCTCAAAGAGTTACCACCTCCAATATACACTACATAAACATGACAAAATAAATAAATAAATACAAAATTATGCATATACCCACATATATTATATGACATGTAGAAACAACATAGTATGATTACCTGGGGTGTAGCACAAAAGCAACAAAGTCACAAAAATAGCTAAAGTCCCTTTAATTCCTCCAACTTGGCCCCAATGTCCAGTTATCCTTGGCTGGAGATCAAACTCTTCCAAAAACAGTCTACAAAGGGAAGGAATGCAGTCCGAACCCAAAGTACAGATAAATTAGAAATAAAAAAACCAACACAAACCACGCTGAAGTAATTAACACGACAGGCCAGGATAATAAATTGCAAACTTCCAAAAGATAATGAAGCACACACAGTTGGGAGGACGCCTGTTGTAGAGCGAAGGAACAGACGAGGCTTAGACCAGAGCATACTAGTAACAGACTTTATTCAAGGGAATAAAGGGTTGTCACGTCTGCCAACTAACAAGGCAGACTGCTAGCGAACAACAACGGCTGGCTCTGCTCGACAGCCGGCTTTTATAGCCGACTGTCAAATGGAGCCAACCAATGGGAGCTGCTGATGCTCCCGCCTAAACAGCGGACCTGGTTGGGAACTCCAACCAGTCCCAAAGACATAACACCCCTCCCCCCTAGCTGGGCGCATGCATAGTCTTTGAGGTATGATGGTGGACTTCGCTGGCGACCCGAACGTCGAAGCTCAGGGGAACTGCTGGTGGGTATTGAGTCCATGGAGCACGGCTCCGAGGCCGCCGTGGTGTCATCTTGGTTTGGCACTGGATCCTGGGAATGAGATGTCTCCCCTCGTTCGGGCTGGCTCGGCAGAACGTCTCGGTCTGGATGGTCGGTGCTCCTGCTGGGTGGATGCGATGGAGATTCGGGTCGGCAGTCTAGGTCCGTTCTCGGTTCACTCTGTTCGAATGGGAATGTCTGGTCCCTCAGGAAACTCCCTTCTGGAACCTGGGCGAGGACTCGAGGGCTGGCTGGTGGATTCGGCTCACCGCTGGTCCGGTCATTCTGCTGCCTGTGTAGTTGGTCCAGGTGCCTCCGCCACACGCGACCGTCTTCTAATTGGACCCAGTAGGACCTTGGACCGGTGATAGCCACGATCTGTCCCGGAACCCACAATGGATCCCCTGCATAGTTCCTTGCAAAGACTGGGTCCTGCAAGGCAAAGTCTCGCACCTGGCTGTCAGAACCCAAAGGGGTATCAGGGCAGTAATGAGGATGCAGCCTGTCAAGAGTAGTCCTTAAACGTCTCCCCATTAAGAGTTCAGCCGGGGATTTGTTAGTGCTAGTGCATGGGGTTGTATGCTGGCTGAGGAGAAAACGGGACAACTTGGAATGCCAGTTTTCCTGACCGAATCTGGCTAGCGCCTCTTTAGCCGACCTGACAGCTCTCTCCGCCATCCCATTACTAGCAGGGTGAAAGGGGGCCGTGAGGACGTGTCTGATGCCCAGATTCGTGACATACATGCTAAATTCGCAGGACGTGAACTGCGGCCTGTTGTCAGAGACTATCGTGTCTGGGAGCCCATGAGTCACAAAAAGTCGGGTCAGGGCTTTGACAACTGCCTGTGTGGTGGTCGTGGGGAGCAAGGCAACGTCTATCCATTTAGAATACGAATCCACGACCACCAAGAAAGTCTTGCCATGCACAGGCCTGGCCAGGTCGATGTGTAACCGTGACCATGGGGCATTGGCGCTTTCCCACTTGTGGGTGAGGCTGCTGGTGGGGCTGCCCTAGATTCCTGACAGGGTTTACAGGAGCTTACCCACTCTGCGATCTGATCGTCCATCCCGGGCCACCATACGTAACTGCGAACCAATGCCTTCATTCGCACGATACCTGGATGGCCCTCGTGCAGTACCTTCAGTATGGGCACGCGAAGAGTGGTTGGGATAACGACTCTGGTACCCCACAGCAGGCATCCCTGGAGTTTTGATAATTCCTGTTGACGTGTTTTAAATGGGACAAAGTCAACTGAACACTTTGTTTCCGGCCACCGCCTCCCCACCCAGTCCAGAACCTGGGCGATTATTTTATCCTTCTTGGAGTGTGCCGCGATGTCATCTGCAGTCACAGGTAGCTTAAGTTCGTTGACTTCGAAGATCGCGTGCACCGGAGCTGGGTCTTCAACTGGGGTCGGCAAGGGGCAGTGGCTGAGAGCATCTGCGTGGCTTAAAGTCTTACCGGGGCGATAGACCAGCTTGAACGAATAGGCCGCTAGGAACAATGTCCATCTAGTCATCCTGGGGGACAGTACTTGTGGAGTTTGCCTGTCCCCCGATAAAAGTCCCAAAAGTGGCTTGTGGTCGGTAATGAGTTCGAAATGGTGGCCAAAAAGGAATTCGTGGAATTTTTTGACTGCCGCTACTGCAGCCAGAGCCTCCTTATCAATCTGGCTGTAGTTTCTTTCAGTCATGGAAAGGGTCCAGGAGAAAAAAGCAATTGGCACCTCGGTGCCATTGGGGAGTCTGTGACTTAGGACAGCTCCTATCCCGAAAGGGGATGCGTCAGCGGTCAAGACCAAGGGAAGGCGTTGGTTGAACTGAATTAAAACGGCGTCAGAGGTGAGCAGAGATTTGATCGCTTTAAATGCATGGGATTCTTTGGGGCCCCAGTGCCACGGAGTGTCTTTATCTAATAACCTGTGTAAAGGTTCAGCGACTGAAGCTTTGTGTGGTAAGAATGAAGCGTAGAAATTTAATAAACCCAGGAAGGCTTGTAGTTCCGTTTTATTGGTAGGTGTGGGTGCCTCGTGGATGGCTTTTACTTTTGACTCCACTGGGTGG